TATTTGCTCAGGCAAATAAATCCCTTCCACAATCACTTCATCTAACTCCTCCTTAAAAGCTTCGGCAGCACCAACATCGGCACTAGCTGCCTCTCCACTCACCGTAACATTGTGTAGACTGTAGCGTTTTTTAAATCTATCAAACCACCCATGACTTCCTGTAAAGGTTTGATCACATTCATCTACTGCCTGCTCCTTCAGGCTTTGGAACAGGCTTCTTGCTTTAGCCTGTATGGTTAGAAGGCTTAAGGGTACACTCTTCTGTATCTGGTCTTCTATCCATATCACCAATAATTTTTCCATATCGTGGATAGGACCTTGTCTTCTCTTTGATATTATAGTTCCCTTTATAGGTGTTGTTCCTTTCACTACTTCACGAATACGTTCCTTGTCCTTCAGAATAGTGGATATAGTCGAGTGTGAGAAACCTAGGTCACATGAGATTGTTGCTACTGTTTTCCATTCTCATGCTGAGTTATTATCTTCATTTTCATCTCAAAAGTAATTGCCTGTCTCCTTTTCTTTGGAGCACCACCAGCACTCTCACTTTTACACTTTCCAGTCATTATAAAGTCAATTAAATACGATAATAACGAAAGTTCACAGCGCGATCAGTATACGATACGATAGCCAAACACAAACAAAGCGCTCCACTGAGTGAGTGTACCCACGAGGCGACCCGAGACGCACCACACTCTCGTCCAGGACGGAAACGTTTCGGTATAGAAAATGCGCGTGTCATTTGAAAATATTTTTGGTCACGACTGCCGCAGTCGTATGTCCCGACGAAATAAGGTCAGAGCAGGTCGTAAGTACCGATGGACGTAAGTCCATGCAGTCGTAAGTCGGGGACTACCTGTATATGAGATTACATAACCATCATAAGGGATATTAACACAAATCATTTGCCTGTCTTAATTAAAAGCTGTTATCACTAACACAAAAAAGTTAATCATTCTTATTCTCTCATGGTACATTAAGGGGTTTTATCATATGTTCACAAGGTGTTATTTCTCTAGAGCAGGAAACCATGATTTCTGTTCGGAAACAGATGATTGTTTGCGCTGATTAGGAACGCGGAGTCTGTCATTTTCAACTACTTGAAGGACTTCTTGAAAGCACTCCTCATCCCTGGCAACATTAAGAAAGTCATGGCAAAGTTTTTCATCACGCTCTGCAGACTCATTGACGACCTGAAGCTTGTCCACAACCCGTTTCAAGTTCAGGTAGTCGTCATGATCCGCCCATTCACTGGCTGGACTGTGGAGAAACTGATAGGGCATGCCTAAAATGGTGAAGAACCGGCTTGAGTCAGGCCCAATTAGGTCCACCAGGGCAGTGCCACTTTCTGGGACAGGGGGAAGATATGGCATTCCATAGCCCCCATGATTGAGCCTCACTCTCTTAGTGACTTCAGTGCCTTCATGGCAAAGAAGGGCCTTCCTCATGTCCTCTTTTGTCCTTTCTTGTACTTGGGAAGAGAACAAAGCCAGTGAGGCCAACTCCTCAGTTAGGTACCAAGTGTGTCTACCGAGTGCCACACGTGCTTTGTCAACTATTGTGGCATCATATGGGGCAAATTCAGCCAAGGTTTAGCCCAAATTCAAGTCATTCAGTGGCGCACTTGCTGGAACGGGGCAAACAATCCACCATGGGACATAAACAGCGACTGTGAACACAGCAAACCGTTCTAACTTGCTGAATTGACTTTTAGTCACAACCTCGGCTTTGGGAAACTGCTCTTTGATCTGGCCTGACAAAAGAACAATCTTGAGGGTATAGAGCAGTTTAGCCATCCACCTTGCTTTGTGAAGTGCGCCGGGTAGACCATCGTGAAGTTCACTGGCTCGGATCCTTTAGTTACAAGCAGCAGACAAAGCTCTACCAGCTCCTTGTAGTCGCCACGTGTAAATGGTTGGGCTAGAGATTCACCGAAGAAGGCAGCCATCTCCTGCTGGCGCTCCTCAAACACTCCAGGCACTGCGGGGTAGTAGTATTTCTTTTTTTCATTGTACGCTAATTGAGAGAAATGGGTCTTGAACCTAGAAATGCAATTATTGGGATTATTGTATTTTGTACTAATCCATAATAGAGTATTGTTTTAGGGGTATTAAGATTGATGTGATCGATCATTTGCTTGGTGTTAGTATATCTTATAAGTCTAATATAAGAAATTCCACTAAATTTGTTCATTAGATAATAATATTCCTTGTTATTTTGTAAAGCCGACGGTGCTAGCTCAAACATGCACCGATCTCCAAGACAATTTACAGGGGTGTTTCCTAGATAAATACACAACACTAAAACTTTGAACAGCATTGTAGGACCCTTTTTTATTTTTGGAGGGCAACGGTCACACCCTAACGTACAGTACATATACACTCTTACTCTTAAATCACAACTGTAATGTGATACGGGTGATTAATTTTTATCTCGTGCAAAATATTTGATGTTTATATTCAAATTATTCACAGTCTTGAAAGGATTCCAGCAATGCAAATTATATTCTAACTTCAGTCTGTGATATTATATAAGATAAAAACTGTAAGCCTTAAACCCTGGCTAGGGGAGAGGGAGGGAGGGAGGGAGCCGGAGGTGAGGTGATATGTTTGACAGTTGGAGCCGAAGGTCTCACATGTGTTTATTTAACAGTCCTTAAGTGACTAAGCTTCTCTCATTTTAAAATGCCAGTGAAATGACCTTGAAGAATATAATTTACATTGCTGGGATTCTTTTAAGATAATGATTAATTTTAATATAAACAAGCTATAATTTGCACTAGACAGAACAGTTTTAGAACCATAATCATTTAGTACATGTACAATACAGGTTTGCACTTAGGTCATTGATTTCTTTTATGTTTCTTTTAGTATTTTGTGTGCATGTAAATGGATGAAAATAAATGAAGAAATTTATGTAAATCTACCCAAAAATACAGTTGAAAGCTTTACATTATAAAATGTAATACCTACTGTACACTAATGTACTAAAATTTTTATCCCTTGTACAAAATATATGATGTTTATATTCAAATTATTCACTGTCTTGCAAGGATTCCAGCAATGCAAATTATATTCTAAGTTTAGTCTGTGATATTATATAACATAAAAACTTAAAAGCCTACTGAAAACCACCAAACCCTTGCTGGGAGGGGAGGGGGGGGGGGGACAGTGACATGTTTGACAGTTAGCACCGAAGGTATAGTGAAGTATTTATTTGTTTATTTATGTCCCTTAGATTGAGTTTTTGTTTTTTGCTTATAAAACTTCATAGAAGTGACCGGGGAGAATATAATTTACATTACTAGACAAAAAAATTTTGTAATCATTTTGTACATTACAGTATTATGATTACATGTACAGTACAGCTTTGCTCTTAGGACAGTGTGAGCATGTAAATGAGTTTCAATAAATGAATAAAGTTACATATATCGAGCCAAAAATAATAGTTGAAAAACTTTATGTAGACAGAGTTTGGATGGCTAAATATTAGAATGACCAATAATTTTAATATAAAACACGCAAAAATATTTAAGAGCTTAACTTTCTTGATATTTACTCCATTGGAAAGGAATGTAAACACAGAACATATTACTGAATTGGCAGACTGAGCCATCAGCTGACCAGCTGATGCTCACACCAAAATGTGATTTTCGTGAGGATTTCGTTAATCAAATTTTCGTTCGTTAACCGAATTGAAGATTCTTATGGAAGGTAATTCGTTTACCAAAATTTTGTTAACCAAGGCGTTCGTTAACCGAGGGACCATCATATACAGTATTATATATTTTTATTTAATATTTTTTATAATATTTTATAAATTTTTATTAATTATTATTATTAGTATTATATTTTTTGCTCCAGGACCTGATGTGGGTCATTGACCTGTGCCCTGGTGGGCTAATCCCATAAAAAGAAAAAAGAAGAAAAAAGACAGTTAACATAATTAACGGAGTGTTAAGAATTACTTTCTTTTTATTAATATTTTATTCAGCGAATTATAAATGTTTTCTATTTTTAGCTTTATACTGTATTCAGCCTCTCCTAATCTATTTTTATAATAACCAAAAAGTATACCAATGAATTTTTTGTATTTCTTTGCCCCTTCAAATAAGACCTTATTTTTTTTAAATCGGCCCATAAATGGTGGAGAAATATCTCAAAATGCTATAAAAAACCTATTTTGAGTAAGTGAACTGCAGCGAGGGCTGTGGCAAGCAATGAATTGTATGTCTGACCGATTCGACAGTCGAGAGCGTACTGACTTCCCTTATTTAAATGCTAGTCCTCCTCTCTCCCTCTACACTCAGTAGCATACCAGAAAGATGCCAGATAAAACAGAAGTAAGTTATCTTTTCCAGTTTATTTTCTATGAATATTTTACTAGAGGTTGTTATGTGCCAGAATGACCTTGAGCATGCACATGGGGAAGGGTGGAGGAGGGAGGGGGGCATTTAACTGTCCATTTAATTTCCAAATCTCCATAAATAACTTTGATATTGTGGGAGTGGCTACTGGAAGGGCGCACAAAGTTCTGGGAAATATTTTTTTTTTTACTATTTTATATATTTTTTGACCATCTCACCTCAGGAGGTTTCCTTAAGAGATGCATGTCTCTAAATGTGAAAGGGAAGAGAGCTAAGGGTAGGCTGAAAGTTTGGAAAAAGACCGTAAAAAATGTTGTTGATGATGATGAATGCCTCAAGCACCATGATAAACAGAAAGGAGCTCAAGACAAACCCTTACTTTCACCTCAAACTCTTCACTTTACTCACCATTAACTCACATCATTTCTTGAGCCCAAAAACAATGCCATAACCACTCAAAGAAGACAATCCTTGACCCACAACTTTCTGATTTCCAAATACATTTCATGAAAGCAATAAGTAAGTGACCCATCACATACAACAGTATGTAGCATAACAAACAATAACAATATTCATTTTGGGTTATTCAATGGAAAGAAACAAATAAATGAACAAAATACAAGTATCAGCTCACCTTTGATGACTTTATCTTTTCTCTGTATATTAACCATGGATATTCAAAATCCCTTTCCTTATCATTTACCGACTTAGGGTGTAATGAAACGCGTCGTTCCTGCGCTGTTTGTATCTTCAATGGTTTATAGGGACTGGGTCGTCCATTATCTGACAAGACTCGAGCAACATTTGGGTACAGGCCAGCTGTGATGATGGCCCGCACTAAGGGGATGTTCTTAGAATTGCGATTGGCTTCACCTGATACAAAATAAATAATTTTATTTAGCTAACATCAAATAAAAAGCAAATAAAATTTTCAAGAAAAATTTAGTTATTACAGTCATGCGCCGGTTAACGTCCTAGATACGTTCATGGAAACGTGACGTTAACCGAAATGGACGTTGTCCGATCATCACATAAACTTTGTATTTATACTTACGTGTATGTGGAATACTATAAACGTACATATACACTTTTACTCTTAAATCACTAGTGTAATGTGATGCAGGTGATTAATTTTTATCTCTTGTGCAAAATACATGATGTTTATATTAAAATTATTCACTGTTTTACAAGGATTCCAGCAATGCTGGGCAGATGGGGGAGAGGGAGGGAGGGAGGGGGCGTGGGGGGGAGGGGAGCGGGTGTGAGGTAGTACGTTTGACAGTTGGCCCAGGTCTAATGCGTGTTTATTTATCAGTTCTTAAGTGACTAGGATTCTCTCTTATAAAAAGCCAGTGAAATGACCTGGGTGAATATAATTTACATTGCTGGGATTCTTGTAAGAAAGTGATTAATTTGAATATAAACATGCTATAATTTACACTAGACATAACAATTTTAGTACCGTAATCAAATTGGTAAATGTACACTCCAGCTTTGCACTAAGGTCATTTATTTCTTTTACGTTTCTTTTAGTATGGTGTGTGCATGTAAATGGATGAAAATAAATAAAGAAATTTATGTAAATCTACCCAAAAATACAGTTGAAAAACTTTATATTATAAAATGTACGCTAATGTACTACAATTCTTATCTCGAGCAAAATATATGACGTTTATATTCAAATTAATCTCTGTCTTGCAAGGATTTCAGCAATGCAAATTATATTCTCCTATAGTCTGAGATATTATATGAAAAACTTAAGGCCTAAAACCCCCCACGCTCCCTCGCGTGGGGGGGGAGGGGAACCGGAGGAGAGGCGATATGATTTGACAGTTGGCGCTGAATGCCTGCATGTTTATTTATCATTCCTTAAGAATGACTAAGCTCTTCTCATAATTTGCCACCCAAACGACCTGGGTGAATATAACTTACATTGCTGGGATTCTTGTAAGATAGTGATTTATTTGAATACATGTATAAACAATCTATATTTGCAATAGACATAACAATTTTAGTACCATAATCATTTAGTACATGTACAGTACAGGTTTGCACTTAGGTCCATTGTTAACCAAGGGACCACTGTATTGCAGTGTACTTGTACTGTACAATATTGACTAAATTCACTAGATAACGTACACAACTAATGGTTGGTAATACTTGATAAGTAAGTGAGTGTCAAGTTTGTCAGTATGAGTGGGATGTGTGAGTGCTTGTGTCCCCCATCATAGGAGTCCATTTTCTCTCGCTTCAGGACGCCTAAGTCCTCCGTTTTCTCTCTTAATGTTAGAGTGCACCAGAGACTTCGCTATTCCTTAGTAATGACACAGAATTTGAAATTGCAACCCCAATTGCAACTGGGGTTGCAATTGTTGAGGCAACTAGATATGTCTGATTACAGCAAATGTGTTATTGTCAATTTGTAGGTGAAAGATTTTATCCTCAATAGATGTAGGTTAATATTACACCTGGAGGCAAATGCTTACTAAAGCCTAAGGAAGGATATTCCTTTAACACATAATATCTGGCCAGTATGGGAAGGATCATCGTGTCTCCGTTAGGGGGTCGTGGAGTGGTGGTCCAGCAGGGGTCACAGAAGTGATTTTTTTTGGGGTGGGGGGGCACGGACGTATATGCGATCGGACGTTAACCGGCGCATGACTGTAGTTAGAAAATGTGAGTCTGAGGCTACGCAATCTATTATATGGCAATAAAACAGAAAACACCAAGAAGTGTTTACATTAAGGCCTGCCACTTAAAGAGTTATTGAACTTAATTAAAACAATAGTGTGATATATTAAAATTTGATTTTATCAGACTCACATTTTTCAGACTAAGGTCTTCCCCAATTAGACCGACTTATCGAGGTTCTACTGTATATATAAGGAGTTCTCATTATAAGTGGTTAATAGGGACCACTTATGAATTAATAGGAATAGGGTCTAATCGGGACCATCACACTGCAAGTGACACTTATAAAGATTAATTTGGTATCTTTTAACAGTTTTATACATATACAGTCATTTCTGCTACAACGCGTGTTTTGTCAACGTGAATTGGCTATAACGCGATTGATGAATAGAAGAACGATATTTGTAAAACGCGAACGCGAATTTGGCTGTAACGCGACTCCACTTGAATGTTTTAAGTGTACTGTCGCTTGGAGCGGGGTTATGTAGTGTTTACAGTTCACGTTCGACATCACATGTTCAATTGATTCATGTGTTTCGTTTGTGAAGTGTTATTTGAAAGAGACTATAAATTTCATCTTCTTTTTGCAAATTTAGCTCTTCCCATAAATACTGTATAAAAAATAAATAAAAATAATGTTTCGCAGTGCGGACTAATAGTGTTTTACATCAGCGCTCTCTGTTTCCATCACACTATCAGTTGAAACATGTGGGTTGTTTTGAAGCATCCTCAGTGATTTTTGCTTATTAATTCTCCAATTTTGTGGTATTTTGTGTTACATTTACTCTATGACTCCATTATTAGATATGAGTGTGACATTTTTTAGACTGTGTTATCCTTTGCGTTAGGCTAACTACTGAATTTTTTTTCGATTTCGAGTAATCTGCACCTTACCCTATTTTCTCCATAAGCCCTCCTATTTCTATTGCGCGAATTTCTACGACGCAAGGTTTTACAAGAACACAACTATCGCAATGTAGCAGAACTGACTGTATATACCTTAGAAACATTTGTTAAACATTTGATTACATATCTGACTTTCTGCCTTATTCACACACAATTGCAGGGTTTCAATTGTGTTTCTTACTTTGACAACACAACATACATATACAGAATCATGTCTCACTACAGTGGTCCCTCGGTTAATGAACACAATTCGTTCCAGAGTCGTTCGTTAACCGAAAATTTCCTTAACCAAATCCATTATTTCAATGGGATATTGGGTAATTGGTTCCAGCTCACAGAAAAGTACACACAAAGTAAAGACAAAAATGCTTGAAGTCAGAAACACTCATAAAATTCTCCTAAATCGCCCTTAAATCAATATATATATATATATATATATATATATATATATATATATATATATATATATATATATATATATATATATATATATATATATATATATATATATATATATATATATATATATATATATATATATATATATATATATATATATATATATATATATATATATATATATATATATATATATATATATATATATATATATATATATATATATATATATATATATATATATATATATATATATATATATATATATATATATATATATATATATATATATATATATATATATATATATATATATATATACACCCACTGCAGTTCGCTTGCGCGATTTCACTCGGCAGTGCCTTGCCCAAGCTGAACTTTCACTTGAGGGGTTTTTCACGTGCCAGAGTGTCGGCTGAGAGCTATTTTTAGATCGCCCCACCCCCACCGCCACCCTGCCTGCCTGCCTGTTTTAGCTCATAAAATTCATCACAAATTACCCGGCAGAATATAATTTACATTGCTGGAATTCTCACAATATGATGATCATTTTGAATATAAACATCATAGATTTTCATTAGACATACAAATTTTAGATATAATGTTTACTCTGAGTAAATATGTTATTTTTGTGCAAAATATATGACATTTGTATTCAAAATATTCCTGGTCTTACAAGGAATCCAGCAATGTCAATTATATTATCATAACTTTAGTTTGAGGTATTATTTATTATTAAAAAGGTAAATATACTGGTTTTCCCACACATCTGGTAGGGAGGACCGACAGACCATCTGTTACCGCTGTGAAGAATATTTTTTTATTAACTGAAGATATTTGCTTTAGCTCATAAATCATACAACCGGCCAGAATATAATTTACATTGCTGGAATTCTTACAATTTGGTGATCATTTTGAATATAAACATCATGGATTTTGCATTAGACATACAAATTTTAGATATAATGTTTACTCTGAGTAATATGTTAGTTTTTGTGCAAAATATGACATTTATATTCATATTCCTAGTCTACAAGCGAATCCAGCAATGTCAATTGTATTATCTAACTTTAGTTTGAGTTATTATTTATTAAAATTTAGTGGTTTTCCCCAAAAACTCTCAGAGAGGAAGAAGCCGGGCAGTGTGAGAGGGAGGGAGTTGGTCCTTATGAATGGACATTAACTAGCGACTGTATTTCTCTATTTCTCTATTGTGTGCATGTACCATCATAAATTAAGATGTTATACTACAACATTGGTACTGTGTCGGAAAAAGTGGAGTTTGATCGGCCAGTTTATATTGGAATTAATCCATGTTCTGTTGTTCACTTAGCGTTTCACTTAACACGCACCGTGGTTTATTGACCTTTAAGCAAGTTATGGCATTACTGTATATATATATATATATATATATATATGTATATATATATATATATATATATATATATATATATATATATATATATATATATATATATATATATATATATATATATATATATATATATATATATATACAGTTGTACCCCACTTAACGCTGTCAATTGAACCCAGAGGGTCCCCCGTTAAGTGAAATCCCCGTTAAGTGAACAACAGAACATATGGGATTAATTCCAATAGAAACCGGCCCGACCCCCAAACTCCACTTTTTGAAGGCACATACCTATGTTGTAGTAAAAATAACATCTCAATTTTATGATGGTACATGCACACAATTAATACTTAAGAGAAATAGAGAAATACAGTCGCCAAGTTAATGTCCATTCAAATAATGGACTCAACTCCCTCCCCCTCTCACACTACACTGCCGGCTAACAGATGGTCGGTCGGTCCCTCCCTCCGCCCCCCCACCCCCCACCAACCGTCCCAAGGAGATG